TCTGAATGAATTTTAACATTCAAAGGCAAGCATCATATTTTCTAGGATTCTTTGAAAGTATTTCTTTGTGTTTACATTTATTGTAATAGGAAAGCAATATGCAGCTTGAATTGCACCGATTTTTATCACTTTTATATTCTGATTGTGGTTGTATCTGTCAGGAGACAGATACCATATCAGTTATTTAAGCAGAGAGACTTTAATATACAGTGCTGTTAACTAGCGATGAATCATTTCCTAAGTAACTAAAAGTAGAAAAAGAACATGATAACGGAGGGAAGAGCTACCTCTCCTAGGGCTGACATCAAAGGGAAGAGGCTCAAATCATGAAATAATCTTAGAAACATCTAAAAGGTGCCTCATGGAGTTGACAGTCAGATCTTCCAAGAGGAAGCGCAGACTAACTGGTGATGGTGTGTGGCAGGGAGGTCAGTGAGTCTGGTTTTACAAGTGGTGGGAAGGCTAGAAACTGGACTGGCTGCTGCTGCAGGACAGAAGGCGGCTTGGGGGATGGGAAGGGCTGCTGGGGTGATGCTCACAGCAGCCACAGGCAGACAGGAAGCCTGCAAAAAGGAGTGAGGCCCCACTTCCTCCTGCAGTCTGACATTCTCCTGCCAGTGCCCCTCTGGGGACGGCCAGCATGGACCTGGCTGGCAAAGCAGAGAGGGCTGTATAGACTAGTGTCACCTCGGAAGGCCACAGGCAGGAGAATAGACTGGGGCATGGATGCAATGAGTTAACAACTGGCACTTTCGAGCTCCTTAAAAAGCTCATCAAAAATGTTTTTAGTTTCTTAAAGAAAGATATACCATTAAATTTTTTCTTAAAATATCTCTAGGAAAGGAAGTGTTGTGAGTCAATTATTTTTTTAAAAAAAACATTGATTTAGTATATTTATGTTTTTGAATAGTTAATTTCTGATTTTCAGGGAAAAAGTATATATTTTAATAGGTCAATTTTATCCTCAAACATATGCCCCCCTCAAAAAATAATTCTCATAAAAAAGATCTTGAAATTTGAAATATCTCTATTAGAATTAATCTATGTTAGGGCAAAGACCATTTTAAAATATAGATTAATCTCAGTTACCAGCAGGTTTTCGTATGAGTAAGCAACCTCTAAAAATAGCTAAAATTCTTCTGTTGATGAAGTCTGACAAAATACACTAGAGGTCATATGGTGACTTCAACATTTATCCAAGATCCAAGTCCATCCAGCCCTTGGCTCTGTCATGTCAAGTATTACTTGGATTTAATATGGTCTAAGATGACTGCTAGAGATCCAGATATCACATCTATCCTCTAAGCATCAGTACAAAGGAAAAGAAGGGAATTAAGTATGTTGTGCCCCGACTTTTCAAGACTTTTCAAGACTATCTTACAAGTCCCACCAACATTCCCACTAGCTCTAAAGGCACTCATAAGCTTCTAGCTGGGAAATGTGCCCAGCTAGAATCAGGGCCGTATTAATTTCAGAGAATTAGGTAGCATGGCCATTGGTAAGTCTCTGCCAGACTCTGGGAAGGGTGTTACCTCACCAGTCATAAGCCTGGGTGTCAGTGAGTCTATCAGCAACTTTTGAAAGGAAGACTTGAGAGGTAAGAAAGACCAGAGCGTATGTGAGGACACAGGGCTGGGGAAGTGGAAGCTGATGAATGGAACAAACAAAGGATATTGAACATTTTCTATTTTAGAAGTTTACTCAGAGTCAGTGTAAACCTCAGCTCACTCTTACAGTTTTGTCCATTTAAAGAATTTGGATTCTATACCATCAGAAGAGGGACCATGTCATGTACTAATTATATTTATTTTATTTCAAAGGACTGAATTATTTTTATTAAAGGTTTGGTCACACGTTGGTTGTATTCTTTCACCTCTCCTAGAGAAACACTTCCTAATGTCAAAATGGGTTTTGGATTTCCACAGTTACTACATTTTACTTTGTGAGTTTGTTTCTCCCTTCCCATGAGCCCTAAAGCAAATGGAAAAATGGCATCATATTGGTAAAATGTGAGCCTTCCAAGACATTCTTTAAATGGCCAATGTGCAAATATAGTCAAATGGACAAATCAGGTCAATGGAGTGAACATTGCTCCACAGATGCTTGGGGTGAACCTGGCTGGCTTTGCGAAGTGGTTCTCTTCATAAACTAATAGCATTGCTTTATGACGTGTCAGGGTGACAGGCCAATTTCTTAAGTGATTTCAGTCTATGTATTTAGTATTTTCCAGCACTTTTGCTTTGAGAACGAATTTATAGGAAAGAGGAACTGCCCAAACTATGGCACATGGCTTTAGCAGAGTCACTGGCAGGAACATAACATAGTTCTTTGTTAGGCACTTCAGCTCCCCAAAATTTCACTTGCTTCTAGCTACCTCATCTATTGTATTTGATAATTTGAGACATTTCAGGAGGGAAGGAATAGTAGAAAAAGACAAGTTGAAGATTCAAATGGGAAAAGTGTCCTGCAGAGAACCAACGCTTATGTAACCATCTGCCCTAATCAAAATGGTGAGGTGGCCATAAACTGAACAGTACCTGGCCTCTTTGGCCAGCCTTGGGTTGTCACTGTGCATCACATCAACATGTCATTTCTGAAACACCCATTCCCCCTCCTCGATCCCCTGCCAGGCTGTTGTGTAGTTGTTTTCTTAAGAGGTTGGTAAGGTCAGGGAAAGGATCTGAATTGCACTTCACTCAGAAAAGAGCCTTCTAGAAAACCATATACATAACAAAACAAAATGATCCCTGCTGCCTCAGGAAAGACCTTGTCCTCAGGAGCCTCAGTGTCCCTCTTCTGCTTTTCCCATCTGGGCCCTTGCTTCCCTCTTCCCCTCTGCCTCATTCTTCTAGTCAGTTAAGAACTAGCTTCCTTCCCATGCAGCATATCACCAGTGCATTAAAACAGGGCTGAGAACTAAAGAAAAGAAGCTCTGTGGGTGGAATTTAAGCAGCATGAATAACGGAAAGAGACTTAGGCCAGAGCCAAAGAGACCTGGGACAGATCCCAGTTCTGTCTTTTAGAAGCTGTCTTGGGCAAGTTACTGGTCTTTTCTGAGTCAGTTTGTTTATAAAATTGAAATAATCACACCTGCCTCATCATCATTGAGAATTAACTTAAAATTATAAATATTAAAAAATCAGTGCAATATCTGACAGTTAATGAATATTACTCTCTTACCTTGCTAGAAAGGAAATAGAGGAGTTGCTGGGAAAGTCATGTGGCTTTCTCGGTACTGTCTTCTTTGGGAAACAGAATCACTCTGTGTGTGAGAAGAGAGAGAGAGAGTGAGGGAATGAGATGGATAGGGACTTTAGGGGAAGGAGAGTTACTTTATCATATTGATATTTTGGATCTGTCTTCTTCTACTTTTAGTGTCTATAATTTCCTGCAGAAAAAACAGGACAGCAAGTCACTGTGAATAAGAAACCAGAGCCAAAGAAGCAAAGTGGTTTAGGGATAATTTTACCTGTGTGCTGATAAAAACCTATCAAACTATTTTTCCCCTATTCCTTACGTTCCCTCAATCCACTTTTTCTCCTGGACAATGCTGATCGAGTGATAAATTTCTCTGACACTCATTTTCTGTGCTGGCCTCTCTATTTTGGGCCAACACATTCTTTTACCACATGTTAATGTCACAATCTTAAGATCTGTCAAAATGAAGAATAACTTCCTTCTCTGTGCCAGACCTGATTTGATACTTGTAACTGCAAAGATTCAGACCTTTTTTGGCACAAGCACACAGGAGCTGGGCTCAGACTCACAGCTCTTTTTGTCCCTCATAAACCCAGGCTGGGCGTTTCCATATTCCCAGCACTGCGGCCTGCCCTGCCTGAGTTCACAGACTCAGATGGGGGCCACTCCCACTGCCACCCAAACAGATGCTTTAGCATCTCCATCCTTGATCTGGATCACCCAGGAAATAAACACAGTCCCAAAACTTGTGAATGCAATCTTTCCTGGAGGTGGATGTTGGCCTGTGGTTAAAATTACTTGTGACTTTCCCCAAGATAAAATCTTGGGGCTTCTGCCCATAACGAGATTTTATCATACTGTCAGCCCTGTCTTCTAGATTGTTTGGGCAAAGCAGTGGCCACATAATTTATAGAAAGTATTTGGAAGACATACATATGTAAAACAAGAAAGTAAATATGATACCTAAAAGAGAGCACATCAAGCAGAACCAGAGCATTTTCATCCCTTAGGACATGTGTAGATTTCTCATCAGAGTTCTTCATGTAAGGTTTGTGCACAAGAACTCTGTGGTCCACTATATCTCAGTTAAAACACCGAGCACAGCTACCAATATTTGACACATTTCAACAAAGGTCTGTAGGCTTCACAGAGCTGTCAAGGTGCTCCACGGCACTAAAGGTTCAATAGTTGCTGAGGCAGGAGGTTTCTGTGGGCTTCAGGAGGTCTTTTCACATGAGCTAGCTGCTGATTTCATTAATTTTCACAGTTCTCTGTTTTCTCATCTGTGGTCTCAACACCCGGACTCTGTCTCTTGGTTTGCACCACCTGTGTTTATGATTTGCTGTAATCATTAGTCTTTCTTTGGGCAGAGCACAACTTTCAATAGAGTAACAGTGAAATTTATAAATGGATCTTTTAAATATTTAATGTTTATTGAACACATTGTTTGTGCTGGTTACTACACTAGCCAAAGGGGCCAGTTAGATAATTTGCCCTTTTCAGCTTATTATCTAAGGAGTGTGTGTGTGTGTGTGTGTGTGTGTGTGTGTGTGTAATAACTTCTTGATTTATGTCTCCATCCTCCCACAGATCTTGGAGACAGCTGAGGTTTCATGGAAACTTTCCAACATTCCAGACCATGGCCCTGAAGTGAAGCTCTGAGTCATGGACTGTGAGACTAAGGTACTGGCAACAATATGGGCCCCTGGACAGCCAACCTCACTAACCTTCGCTGTAAGCAGAAGCCCAGAATGAGTTTGGCTTGAAATCAGAGTGAGCAGTAGAGAAAGCCTTCTCTGTTCATGGAAAGAGAAAAGGCAAGAAGGCTCTCCAACAACTTGCAGCAAACTTTCCATCACTCTAAAGAACCTACCTTTCTTATCCACCAAGCCATCCTACCTAGTGACTGCCATTCCACCCTTTTGCCAGAAACAGCGTGTGTCAATTTCAGTGAAAGAATAAAGACAAGTGCTCAGAGGTATAGACCTGGAACAGTGATTCTATCAAAACGGCCCAGTAGGAAAATGATGTCGGGAAGCCAGCCCAGCCCCCCTGTGATCGTGTCCCGAAGGCCAGGATCCCGTGTATGCTACATCTGTGGCCGAGAATTTGGATCCCAGTCTATCGCCATCCATGAGCCCCAGTGCCTAGAGAAGTGGCGGATTGAAAACAGCAAGTTGCCCAAGCACCTGCAGAGGCCAGAGCCCTCCAAACCACAGCCTCCGGAGGCCAGGGGGTCCTTTGGTGTGCAGGCTGCTAACCAGGCGGCCCTTCAGCGTGCCCAGGCTCAGCTGCTTCCCTGTGAGTACTGCGGCCGCACGTTCCTGCCAGATCGGCTCCTTGTGCACCAGAGAAGCTGCAGGTCAAAGGGTCAGGTCCCCCAAGCGCCACGCCTCAACTCTTCTCGTGATCTTCCTGGCCTCAAGAAAGCCACGAGCGGCATCCCAGCCCGACCGAGGGCTCTCATGTGCTACATTTGTGATAGGGAATTTGGCACCCTGTCCCTCCCTCTTCATGAGCCCAAATGCCTAGAAAAGTGGAAAATAGAAAATGACCGGCTCCCTAAGGATCTCCGCCGGCCACTGCCACAGAAGCCTCAGCCCCTTCCAACTGGGCAGCCCAGCCAAGAGGGGACAAGTCCAGCTCAGTTTGTGCCCTGCCCAAATTGTAACCGGACCTTTGCCCCAGCTCGCCTTCTGGTGCACCAGAGAAGCTGTAAAGCTCAACCTAGTGGACCAAAAGTCCCAAACTTGACCTCAGGAAGTAAAGGTGGCCTAAATGCACCCACTACTTCCAAGCAGCGGAGGAACATGCAGCACCCGCTCTAACTGATAAGGTAATTCATACCATGGGAGATGCAGGAGGTGCGCCTGGGAGTGCATTGTGTCTCCAGGGAAATGAGAGAACTGTGCCCAGAATCATCCTTCGCCCCTAGCATGGTTTCTTTCGTGCCTCCCTTCTGCCTCAATGCGGCTTGTCCAAGATGACCCCTTATTGGAGTCCAGGGGCTGTGTCTGTCTGGGCAAAGCAGATATAAGAACAACCTTGCCTCTTATTCCTCTTCACTTCTGCTGCCTGAAAGAGAGATGGACTGCTTTCTTTCTTGACTCCGCATACCAATGATCCCTGGGAGAGACTGTGATTTGGAAATGACTCATTAATGCTGTCTGCATTACAGGGATACAATTCCCATTCCAACAGGCAATATTTATTGCTGGTTTATTTTAGTCATCCACCTTAGGAATTCACTTTTGGCAACGTTGAGTTATACTGAGTTTATCTTACTAAAATAGAACCTGTGTCAAAAACCCCAAATGACTTTAACAATAATTAAACACTGAGCGTGTGCAGAAATGTATGCACTTTGCAAATACAGCATGCTTTCTTTTAATGTGATTTCAGTAAGTGGAGATTGGCTCCTGCATAGACACTGAAGCAACCAGGAGCACATTCATGGTCCTGGGAGGTGCATCATGTTGCTCTATACCTTGTTTTGGGGTTCTTCACAAAGTCCAGACCCCCGATTTGGGTCATTCTAAATAAGCACGACCTTAGTGTCCCACCAGTATGATGGAGAGTTGTTGCACTTCTACCTGAGGTCTCGCCATCAGCCCGGACTGGGGAGGGATGCTTATGAGGGTGGCAACCTGCAAGACAGGGTAAGGTCCATGCTGGTCAGCCTGCCCTGAAGCCAGGGAGCAGATGACTGACCTGTGTCACACCTTACAGAATGACAGCTCATGAGAACAAGGAGGCAAGGAGGCCTTTTCTCCATAGCAGGCTGCTTGAACTTCTAGCATGCTGGAAACCTCCAAACCACAGCATCTTTGCAGCAGTGGAGCCGGCAGTCTTCAGACCAGTAAAGAATCCTTAAATTGACTGTTCTAGGGAAACAAAGTTTACTCAAGCTATTGTGAAAGATTATAACACTCTTTACTTTTAATCCAGTTTTCTTATTTTAGTTTACTATTTTGGGGTAGGGGTTGTCTAGGCCTCATTCCTGAGTCCCCTGCTTAGAATGAGAAAATTATGGACACAGGGTTTAGAAGATTCCAAGACAATGGTTTCAAAGCTGAGAGAGTCAGATTAACAGATGCTGGGAGAGTTTTCCAATGAACACTGGGGAAAAAAAAAACAAAACAAAAAAACCCCAGCTCATTTCTTTGCCTAATGAAAACCCAAACTCTTAAGTGTGGCATAGGCTTCAAGCTGGCATCATAACTGTGATCTGTTTTTCCCATCTTCTTGCTGTTGCTCTTCTCCCAAAATGTGTGGGGTCTGGAATCAGAGTAAAAGGACCTGTGTTTCAGGGCCACGAATCAGAAACTCCCTTTGCATTCCAGTGTGCAGCCTGTTCTTGATTGTATGCATTTATCTCACAGGTTCTCATTACAGATCTAGAGACAGGAGGAGTGTGGTCGGGGTTCCTGTGCCTGTTGCTGTAACATACTGTGTGCTCCAAGACCGGAGCCAACAGGCTCAGCACAGCATGTTCTCAGGCACAGCTAAAAGGCTGGCCCGGCCCACAGCATCACACAAAGACACCTTCCTGACTCACCCGGGGTTGTCTGGAGGGGACAATCTCAGAGGAGGCCAATGATAGCCCCTCAATGACTTCTGCACTTAGAGAGAGTCGGGGGAGGCCGTCCAGAGGACACAGCTGTGTCAGAGTGCACCCAACCCTGCTCCCAGGCCTTAACGCCCACGGATCAGTGGGGAATTGGCACCTACCACTCTCAGATGCGTGCCGGCCCCGCTGGGGACCATCCAGGCGTCAGTGAGGGCATGGAAAGGTCATCCAACAGAGAATCCCTTTAGATGTCAGATTTCAAACAAGCCCAGGTTAATTAAATGGAGAAATGGCTCAGCTTCAGAAAAACAAAAGATGTTTTGAAGCAGTGGGCTTCAGATGTTGCCACAGTGCTGTTAGAAGAAATCTTTCCTTCCTAGTACAGTATTCCTTTTAGCTGAGATTTGATCTTGTCTGTCCAAGTTTCACCTCTTCATACCATAAAATGCAGTGCACTGAATCCCTCGTTCTCCATAAAGATCTCTGCCCTATACACGATGAGATTTCAGAATTGCATCTGCCTGTGACAGCTGACTTTTGGCTGACTGTGGCACACATGCATTCCTTTTTACAACTAAGATGTCTGCTTCATTTCTTCTCTTGTTGGTGACAGCAGTTTTCCTCTAGAATCCTCAATCTGACTTCAAATGAGAGTGAGCTCTCTTGCCTGATGTTCCCAAGGGGCTCGACCTGAATTCAGGTGAGGGAAGTATGTTTAGAGTCAGGGTTGCAGTACTTGAAAGCAATTTGCTCCAGTTGGGTGACAAGGACTGTTTTGCTGGCAAAGCACATTGCCCTTTGCCAGAATGTTCCTCCAACAAAGACTGGCTCCCATCCCTTATGACCCAGATGCCCCTGTTATCTCTCAATCAAACCTAAAAACAAACCCCAGTAAGACAAGCTTTCCTCCAAGACCTCAGGGGTGTTTTGCTTAGTCCTCTAACTACTCTATTCTATTGTCCCATTGCTTATCACCTAAAATACAGGGCCAGATTTATTCTTCTGGCCTCACAGGAAAGTTGGGAAGGATGCTAGCGGAATTTAAGAGGAGTGAACCCTAATGTGGAATTTTGCTTAAAGGCTGTGGCTGTCCTAGGACTGTTCCTCAAAAGAAGAAAAGCCTGGATGAGAACTATGCAATTTAGCAAGATTTACAAAGTGTTATTAATTCCAAATGAAATTCTGATGCATGATACATACCATAGGACAGACCATTATTTAAAATTTTAATACAGCATCTACTTGATGAGATTATTTTATGCTCATTTAGTAATTTTCTATTCTATGCAGAGGAATATAATAGAGTTCAGTATTGTTTCTTATTTTAAGGTGAATATATACACTTTACTGTTTGCTTTCATATTTGATCCTTTCTAGAAGCTGGTAGTAATTCATTCTAGCTTTATATCTGTCTGGCTAATTGTGGTTCTTGTTGACTGTGAAAGAAATATAACTATAAACCAAAACAGATCCTTTGCCTAACAACCTTTTATCATTTAAGTAATGCTTGTGGTTATTTGCTGAGGATTTTGCTAGTGAATTATGAAGCTCTGTGCATAAAAATCCTGTCCTACATAGACATTGAAAAGTAGACATTGTTGTTCTTGGGGGGCACTGTCTTTTCTACAGATGACGCCTCTCTGTAAGTAGCTTCAAGCTACTTTCAGCATCACCCATGTGCAGGGTGAACGAGGAGTTCCTCACCCACCTCTCTAGCATGTGGTGCTGCCATCTGGTGTTTCCTTTTAGCGCAGTGTCTCCTACACTATACATTACTGTCTTCCTCTTCATTTCACCTCCAAATACATTTGAGAAGGTATCCTTGCAATTCAAACACCAGTTACTTAGGGGTAGTTATAGATTCAATTTAAAGTTAGAAATGCCATTTCCTAGTGAAGTATCTCATTCTCTAAAAGCAAAGTTCTCAGTGGAATTGTCACAACCAGAAAGATTCAGAGGGCAGGGTGGATATTTTCACACTTCACATGTCTGTTAACTAAAAATATTTAGAGTTTAAGAGAGGAATAGAAGAAAGGGAACTAATTTTTTTCTTTATTCATTTATTCATATGTGCATAGATCATTTGGACCATTTCTCCCTTCAGCCCCCCACCTCCTTCTTCTCCCTCCCACTCTCCTCACTTCCAGGCAGAACCTGTTCTGCCCTTTATCCAATTTTGTTGAAGAGTAGACATAAGCAATAATAAGAAAGGCATAGCATTTTGCTAGTTGAGATAAGGATAACTATACAGAGAGATTCCTAACATTGCTTCTGTGCACAAGTGTATTACAACCCAAACTGATTCATCTCTGCCAGACCTCTTCGCTACTTCCTGGTCACCTTCCCATATTGACCTCTGTTGTTTTAATATTACTGTATTAGCTCCTCTGCAGTGGGGACATCATAGACTTTCAAGTTTTGAGTTTCCTACCTTTCCCTATTCCTCTTGTATGTGTCATCCCCTTAGTGTGTGACCCAAGTCTAACACTATTACTGCATTTGTTTTAGATCTAAAGTCTGAATATAAGGGAGAATATATGAGTTTTGGCTTTCTGAGCCTGGCTAACTTCGCTTAAGATGATGTTCTCCATTCAATGGATGCAAGTTCCATCCATTTACTTGCAAATGATAAGATTTCATTCTTTTTCATGGCTGCATAAAATTCCATTGTATATAAATACCACATTTTCTTAATCTATTCTTCAGTAGTGGAGCATCTTGGTTGTTTCCACAACTTGGCAATTGTGAATAGCACTGCAATAAACATGGGTGTGCAGGTGCCTCTGGAGTAACCTAAGTCGCATTCGAAAGGGAACTAATTTTTATTTTATGTCTTAGTCTTTTTGTGCTGCTATAACCAAAATCCTGAGACAGGGTAATTTATGAAGAACAGAGATTTATTTCTCATGATTCTGGAGGGTAGAAAGTCCCGGATCAAGGTGCCAACAGGACTAGTACCTGGGGAGGGCTGCTCACTGTTTCCAAGATGGTACTTTGCTGCTGCGTCCTCTAGAGGGAAGGAACTGTCTGTGTTCTCACATGGTAGAATGGATGGAATGACAAGGGAGTGCTCTCTTCAATCTTGAGCTCTTTTGCAGGGTGCTAATGTCATTTACCACTAAAGAGTGCTCATGACTTAAACATCTCCCAAAGGTCACACTTGTTGCATTGGGGTTTAAGAGTCAGTGTGACTTTTGCCAGGACTGCCATCATTCAAACTATAGCCCTTTGTGATCAGCACACATATGTATAATCAAATTTTAATCTTCATAATATTACTGTAAGATACATACTATTTTCCCTAACTTCCAGGTAGGAAGACTGAGGTTAAGCAACTTGTTCAGTGACACAGTGTTTTCACAAGTGGGTATCAGAGCCAGGTCTGTCTAATTCTAAAGACTTACATCTGCTTTTGGTACTGTGAGAGAGGTATACAAAAAAGGTTGTAGAGGGATGAGGATATAGTTTAGTGGTAGAGCACCTGTAGGTGTAAGACTTTGAGTACAATTCCTGCACCCCCAAAAAAGTGGGGGACATGGCTACCCTGTTACTCTTGAGGATTGGATAGGACAAGAGAAGTTTGTTTACTCACCAGTATTTATCATTAGGCATTGACCTAAGTTCTAAATATATAGTCATAGAAAGTAAAGACAGTTCTTTTTTGTTTTTTTTTGGTTTGAACTCAGAGCTTTGTGCTTGCTAGGCAGGTGCTCTAGGGCTTGAGCCATGCTTCCAGCCATAATAGATATAGCTCTTGGCATCATGGAGTTTTTAGTCCCTGGAGGAAATATGAAATCTATCCATTCACTTTCAAATTGTGATTTAACTGTGTGTTTTGGTGGGAGGTAGACATTCAGGATCTTGGCTAGAGAAAACTACCAGAAGGGGGACACTTCAATTGAATCATGAAAGGTGTAAAAAATGTTACTTTGATCAAAGGCATAGGGGAAGGAAATTAGGAAACATTCAGGCCAAGGCCACATGTGTGAAGGCCTCAGATGAGAGATCTTATGATATTTCATGAGGGACAAGCACGTGAGAAGATGTAAGTGTCACATTATTTACTCAGGCTGCTCTCCACAGAGCAGGACACCAGTTGTTTGGTATTTCAGGAGCCCAAATGAAAACTGATGATGGCTTGGCCTAAGTTGTCGGTAGCAGAGATGAAGATGAAGTGACTGTCAGGATGTGAAAGAGTAAGGAAAGAGGCCAAGGATGAGTCTCAGATTTCCAGCTTGAGCAACAGCACTAGTTGTGCTAAGATGTTGAAGACTTAAGGAACAGAGTAGGCTTTGGGGGATTAGGATCAAAAGTTTCATTCTAGACATACCAAACTTAAAATGCTTGTGAGATATTTGTTAGACTTGATACATGAGTCTGGAACTCAGCAGAGAGGACTGGATTGGGATGTCCATTCGTGAATCATTAACATATATTTAAATAAATCAGATTTAGTACTAGGTTAGAAAAATAGACCCAGGACTGAGCCCAGAAGGAGCTGGAGAATAAATGTCTGGAAACACAGAAGAAATGCCTGGAGAGTGTATGCAGCTGTAGAAGCTGAAATCAGAGGAAATGACAGGAATAAGGATGTGAGAAACAGTGCAGCATACTGAGAGGTGGAGTAGAATGGGGACCAAAAAAAAAAAAAGCCTATTTGTGAAAGAACACATTCAGGGTGGTGGTAGGAGCTGCAGACGGCTGGGTGATAAAGACAGAGAATGTGGTGAGAAGTTTACCAAAGACCTAGGAGAGAAGTAGTGACATTAGCAATGGACAGATTGGGTTAAGAGAGGTTTCTTTGAATGATGGAAGCTTTCCGACTATATTTGAATGAGAAGGATAATAATCTAGTAGAGAAAAAAAGGTTGAAGAAACAGGAGAGGTGTCAGAAAAAATAACTCTGCAGGGAAAATAGGCACCAGGGGTATGGAATGGATCCCAGTGTGTACAGGGAGGACCTTGCTGTGAGGGGTGCTTCTGCATTTCAGGAGGATGCTGAATGCAGATGAAGGCAAGTTGTAGGCTAGCAGAGGGATGATGGAAGAGCTGCAATCTGTAAGTTTGTATATTTTCTCAGTGGAATATCAGGCAAGCTTACCAAACTTAGATAAGAAAGCAAATGGAAAAGGTTAATTTTAAGAGACCTTTTTAGTCCTTTGTTTCAAGTCTTCTGTTAAAGTGAGTTACTGAAAACAAGATCAAGTTTCCTCATATGATTTGCTTCTACAACTCTAAGCCCAGGAATGACTTGGAAGTCTTTGGAGGTAGTAGATAAAACATCTGGTGGGATCCTGCCTGAGGTTCTGACCCTTTCAGTGGTCCTACTTTACCTGCTCAGCTGTTCTGATGTCACGAAAACCAGCATTGACCTCACAAAGTGCCCTTTGATGATGCTGTTAGCTGGGCTAATGTCCAACTACACGTGCCATTTCTTCATCTTTCCTTGGGGCCAACCATGCCTGCATATCAGGCCAGCATTCTAAGATCCCGTGGCTCTCAGGTGTACTAAGCTCAACAATAAGGTAATAGGGGGAGTTCTCTTCCACAATATTGTTTCTAAGGACTGATTTGGGGGAATCCGGGCATAGAACAGAATGGGCGGAGCAGGTGGGTGATGGGAAAGAGTTATAAGTTTTAGAGCAGCAGCGTGAACAGTGAAATGAGAAAGTGTACAACTCTCTCATGTGAATTTGAAGGTAACATCCACACAAATGATAATCTAACAATTATTCTTAAATTCTGTCTCAATTTATGTTTATATATTATGTATCAGTGAGTAGAGAGGCTATGATAGATGCTGCTGCCTCTCCCAGAGCTCGGAAAAACTGTGGGGTGTCTATACTGGGCTCCCATAGGTGGATTTCTGCTTCTCTAGAAAGAAAAATGTTAATTGTAACTTCTGTGAACAAACAGGATCATACTTTATAAACCAAATACTATCATCCAGGCCTACAATCAACAAAACTACAGTGTGGTCTTAGAAAATTAATCTAGCTTGGATGATTTTATGTCTTCATAAGCCTGGTTCTCCCCATCACCCTCATCTGCCTGCTTCCAGGACCAAATACACGTGTCCACATTTCCTAGTGAGAGGTGATGACTGAATGGATATATGCATGGATTTTAGCAATCCAAATTCCAATGTCAACACTAAAATCTCTCCCCAAGTTCTTAGAAATCCTTTGAAGGCAGTTCGACACAACCTGGATGGACTCCTTATTGAAACGGAGGCTACTGACCAGTGAACAGAAGGGTCACTGCTAACCTGCATGAGTGCCAGTTTATGAATAGTACACAGAAAATTTTAGGACTTCTCTTGCCTTACTCGTTGTTGTATATTGCTTCTCCTCAAATCATTTATCTCTTTCTAGCTTTTACTTTTCTCAGGTTGTCTTATATATAAAAAAAAGTCCTACAAATTGTAGAAGAGCCTAATAAACCCAGGAACTCAGTAAGTTTCCAACTTTCCTGCTCCAAAATGTGCCTTGATGCCATGACCCTAGCATCAGATACCTTCCAGGCTGCCTCACGCAGAGAAGGTGAAAACATAAAGGTCTCCATGGTCCCATCTTAAACTTCAGAACAGAGGCACAGGGTAGAGAGCAAGGGTTAAGGGGTCATGATCAGCCGCCATGATTGGAAAAGAAAAAAACTGTCTCAGAATTAGACTTCCTTCTGGCCCTCTGAGGTGGTAGCCTTCTTCTTTTCATGGGAAACTTCCTCTGTTGTGTTGTCCATCGCCCCTCAGCTGGAGGCACTTTCAAATGTAAGCTTGTAAACAAGTCAGGTGCTGAAAATAACCTAAGTTCTAACTTCAGCTCTGACAGTCTAGGCTTCCCTTTTATCTAATTATGGACGCTGGACAAATTAGTAACTGTGTGAGTTTATGGGTTTTCCTGTCTTTCCCAGATGGCTCCTTTGTTGCTTCATTTCATTCTGTGACTTAGAAGTCATCTGACCATGAGGGTCAGACCTGATGCCCCCACACAAGGGCATCCTCTACCCATTTTCTTCTTCAAGGAAAGTCATTTCTGGCAAGGATTTGGCAAGAAATTTAATTAATGTCTGTTAAGGTATAAGGAAAAAAAAAAAACAGTTTTACCTCAAATGGAAAAGAAAATCTTCAACTAAGAAATTCTATTCCTTTCAGGAATATAGGCTCAAATTTGGAATTAATTCTTTGACCTATATTTTTCGACTTTGTATCTCAGGATAAACAAATAACTAAAATGTGAAATATATACATAAAATACCAAGGATTCTTCTTTAAAAATCAGGTAGGTGAAGGTACTTTAATGTTAACAGTATTTCAAATGAATAAGCAATGTTAAAAGGAGTAAAATAAAACTCTAAATCAGAAGTCACAGACTCTCTTATAGTTGGCTAATAGACAGACTGGACTGGAAAATTCCTTTACGTGGCATCTAGTGATTTCCAAAAGCAATTAATTTCAAACAACGATCCTTCCAGATGTGACATTTGGTAGATTTGTTTGAAAACACCAGAAGCGAATGTCAAATACCAGTGGTTTCTAGACAATCAAATTCTATACTTGTTGAGGTTTGAGACTGAATTATGCAGTAACTGCTATATTTTAAAATGCTGTTAATATTTTGTCTTCATGGATAGACCATGCCTGAGGGAATGGCAACCTCACTGCACACATGAGCCTCAGTCAAGTTGGTGGAAAGTGTTTTAAATGGCTGCAGGCAAAATGCTGACACCGGAAGACATCTTGGTGACTTGGCCTTATACTCTAACCTCCTTTTCCTTTCAGCACTGGCCAACTCCACCCCTTGATATTGTTAGGAGGGGGTTGAGAGAAGAACCTAGTAAACTGCTTCATAGGAAAATGTCTCTCATAAGACTATCTGCATCCTGGAAAGGGATCCAGGAGATCCCCTTTAACACACAGGATGAAACTGTTTAGGTCACTGGGAGAGGAACTAGGAGCAGAGCTGGGAGCTTTGCTGGATTCTCTTGAATCCAAGACTCACTCAGCAGACATGTGAGGCAGAATTTGTTACTCTACTGACCTCTGGTGATCATATTCCTATGTGTCTAGAAGCAGCTGGAATCAGACAAAATTGGATTTAGATCCTAGGTACACAACAAAATCACACCTCTTTGAGCACATTACTGAACTTCCCAAGCCTCTGTCTCCCTAAATGACAGGTCCACATGTGAGAAGGACAGGGATAGTGCCTGGCAAGGCATCAGTTCCCTCGCTCCCCTCCACAGTGGTAGTGGGGTGACAAAGAGAGTCAGAGGACTGGGGTAAAACCAACAAGCAGGTGCCTCCGTTTCCTGGCTTGTAAAATGTGAGTTTTGTTCAGAGGATTGTTATGAGAATAAATGAGATAACATGCAGAGTGCAGGGCCAGTTATAGAGTAAATGCTGGGTAATTGTTAACTATTTTATGTTTCTTGGCCAGACATTTTCAATATTGCAATGAATACAAGCATTTATACAAGAGATTTTATTCTTTTTCTCCCTCACAGAGCAGGGAAGAACTCTCCCTCTCATTTTGCTCATCTTAACTTTCTGCATGCTATGGTATGCCCGTGCACTCACCATGGACGTCCCAATTATTTGACCTAACGGAAGGGATCAGGAGTGTGGAAAATCTAAGATAGTAGCTAAGATCCTGCAAAAAGAGAAACTCTCATTGATAGAATGACACCCATTCAAACTGCTGCACTATCACACCATTCCCTCAGTCCCTGGCAAGATGTGCCATTTTTAACATCCAGCCCGGGGTTTGTGGGGGGAGTTCCCCAGCAAATAAATGACGTGAGAATCACCCACGGTTACTGTGTGGATATAGTCTTGGAAATCCATGTCATATCCCCTCCTGTAGCAGCTCCTTTTGCCTAAGGGTAGACTTCAGACCTCTTGCCCTGTTCTGCTGTAACTGAAACTACACTTAAATTCAGAGAAGGCTCTCCAGTGTGATGACCTCTAATCAATCCTGAGCTACTTTTGCTCTAAGGCACCTTCCCTCCTACCTGGCAAATTTTGTTGTTGTTGTTGTTGTTTTAATTCCATAGTCAGAGATTTAGTCCTTTGAATTAAAGCACTGACTTTATAGAAGATTCCAGAAAAAGTGCAGGTAACAAACCCATTATAGCCATTGGCACACAAAAACAATAGCCCATTTCTTAGAACTGAGAAGTAGGGCAAATACCTTGCACTGGAGAGATTGAGAAAATAGGCTGTTCAGAGTCACAGGCTGAAATGCACCGGGGGCAGAGCAGGCTGCACAAAGAACAATGGGAGAAATAGAGCCAGTGGTATCCTGGAGAGTAAGTCCCACCTACGGGCATCCCCATGGAAATATTTTGGGAACATTGGCTGGCAAAATAAAGCATGCTGCAAGCTGAAATGGCTGTTGCTCCATCAGCTTGCCATCTGAGATTCAGAGCATGAAGCTGAGGGAGGCTGTACTGCAGGGGAGTTTGAGGTGAGATGGGAGGCCTGGGTCCTAAGAAGCCAGCTGTGGATGCTGTGGATGCACAGCTGTCACAGTGTTGCATGATTGTATGAGAGAGCAGGGGCGTACACTTCATGCCCAGGTATAGGAGGTGCACTCTGCTGCCAGCCACCATCTGGATCACCTGTGAGAGTCTCGTGGTCAGACATCTGGGCACCAAATCTTCTAAGAGGTTGAAAGGATCACAAAAAGTTCAGCATCCTGGGAAGGTTCCTGGTCTGGAGAATTTTTATCAAAATTTACCAGCCTGAGTTCAAACACGTCATGGGCAGAGACGTCAAGGAAAAGCATCCTCCACTCAGCAGGCCCCTTCTCATCCTCCTCCCTATCCCCCACCCCCAGTTCTTCACTGATTTCATGCAGAACAGGCTCTGTGCATCCTAAATATAGAGCTCTAAGGGCTGGAGGAGTGGCACAAGCAGTAAGCATGAGGCCTGCGTTCAAAACCCCAGTGCTACCAAAAAACAAAAAACGAAATCCAAATATAGAGATCTGTCAGAACTCTGATATTTCCCCAAAGACAGAGCTTAAAAAGTATTTCCCAGATAAGGAGGTGAGTTGAGTATGGTCATTCCCAGTGTTAGGCCAGTTCTCAGGTCTGTACTTAGCACCATGCCTGGCACACGGCCTGGAAGCAGAATGTACTTCCAGAGCACAGCATCTGGACTGCCGTGGAGTCACCAGTTGGCTCAGTCTTTGCTCCCGATGCGTCCACTCTGTGCAGGGCTCATCTGAATCAGTCTCAACTCTACTCTCTACTTTACTTCTCCTTACAATGTAGCAGCACCATCAATATTTAGAATCCCATTGTTGTATGGGCCTTTGTGAAATTGAAAAATTTTAAATTAAACCCAGACAGTCATAGACTAGCCATTCTGGTTCCCAGTTATGCTCCATCTGAGAGAAAAATATGCATTGACTTATGGGGGTCAGTGCTAGGCCTGCTTATGAGACAGGGTAAGAGTTGTCATGTCTACCTTTCCCATAGTCACTTTTTTTTTTTTAACATGTTGTGACTTGTATCATTA